AAAACAGAAGTTAAGTAAGACATTTGTTATTGAGAAGACAAAACAGAAGTTTAAGTAAGACATTTGTTATTGAGAAGACAAAACAGAAGTTTAAGTAAGACATTTGTTATTGAGAAGACAAAACAGAAGTTAAGAAAGGCCTTTGTTATTGAGAAGACAAGACACTGTTGTTAAGTAAGACATTTGTTATGGAGAAGATGACACTTGTTAAGTAAGACATTTGTTATTGAGAAGACAAGACAGAAGTTAAGTAAGACATTTGTTATTGAGAAGACAAGACAGAAGTTAAGTAAGACATTTGTTATTGAGAAGACAAAACAGAAGTTAAGAAAGGCCTTTGTTATTGAGAAGACAAGACACTGTTGTTAAGTAAAACATTTGTTATGGAGAAGACGACAGTTGTTAAGTAAGACATTTGTTATCGAGAAGACAAGACACTTGTTAAGTAAGACATTTGTTATTGAGAAGACAAAACAGAAGTTAAGTAAGACATTTGTTATCAAGAAGACAAAACACTTGTTAAGTAAAACATTTGTTATCAAGAAGACAAAACACTTGTTAAGTAAAACATTTGTTATCAAGAAGACAAAACACTTGTTAAGTAAAACATTTGTTATCAAGAAGACAAAACACTTGTTAAGTAAGACATTTGTTATCAAGAAGACAAGACACTTGTTAAGTAAGACATTTGTTATCAAGAAGACAAAACACTTGTTAAGTAAGACATTTGTTATCAAGAAGACAAAACACTTGTTAAGTAAGACATTTGTTATCAAGAAGACAAAACACTATTGTTACATAAGATATCAGAGCTTGTTATTCTAAGGGTAAAATTTGCATATTCTGATTCTAGGTCCTCCAGCTCATACCTGAACAGTGGTCAGTAGCTATTGTTGACCAGTTCTTGAATAAGGCCCTAAGAACTTCTCTCCACAGACTTTGTACCACCAGAATTGAAAGTGCTCTTGCTCGTGGAGAAAACTTGCAGACTCGCTTCTCCAAGATCCACATAGAACAGGATGTTTTGGTGTTGACAGATGATAGGTATCATCTCATTCATTGGTTAACTTAACTCTCTGAAGATGTAACTAAAATAATGAACAGTTGTTTAGAACAGAAACTGATTTGTCCCACAACCATTAACATCTCATTTTATTTTACTAAACACTTTGTCCATCAAAATTTGTAATAACACTTTTTTTTTACTGTAAAATCAACACTCAACAGAAAAAGTGGAGGATAAAGAAAAAATTTAAGTTACCAAGAAAAGTATCTTTTATTGGATATTTCATAGTTAACAAACTACTGAGGTTATTTACTGTTCACTCAGTGACCAGCCTGGACACTGATCATCAGCAAGCATAATCATTTACTTGATTAATTGCAAAAGGTGAAGTTAAATATAATGCGGTACCTGTGTCCATATGGTCAATGGCAATTAACCACTTTGGCTAGTTATAACAACACTAGAACACTGTCACACTTCTATTCTAAAACAGTTAAAGTCATGGCAAGGATAGTTCTAATTTGTATCTATATGGCAATTAACCACTTTGGTTAGTTATAACAACACTAGAACACTGTCACACTTCTATTCTAAAACAGTTAAAGTCATGGCTAGGATATGTCTAATTTGTATCTATATGGCAATTAACCACTTTGGTTAGTTATAACAACACTAGAACACTGTCACACTTCTATTCTAAAACAGTTAAAGTCATGGCAAGGATAGTTCTAATTTGTATCTATATGGCAATTAACCACTTTGGTTAGTTATAACAACACTAGAACACTGTCACACTTCTATT